AAATTTGCACATGCATATATACATACATATTATGTATTCTTTTGAAAATGTTTGTATAAAAATAATTTTAACTATATACATATATACTGTATTTAGCGGAACATAAATTTAATAATTTAAATGAAAAATATAAAATGGAAAAAAAAATAAAAAATATAGAAAAGTAAAACATCATTCCTCCTACCCACAGTAATTTATCTTATTCTATACACACATTTTATGTAAATATATACTTACATAGGTACATACAACTAAACAATAAAAATAATATATGAGATATTATTTATCCACGTAGATACGAGTATGTGTATGTATTTCTTAAATCTTTGCTTTTTTTCGGCGTTTAATAATTAAATAAAAAAAATTAATTAATTTAAACCGAAATGAATAAAACAATAGAGTATTTTTTTTTTGTTTTTGTAAAGAGTTAAACTTCAAAAACAGAAGAAATATTAGTCGACATTAAATTCAGACATTTAATCTTTGAATAATAAATTGAGTGGCATATTATGTAGAAACATTACATACATATATACATTTATATACACACATGTACATAAAAATGTACGAATAAATCGTTAGTGCGCATTGTTAAAATTATGGTGTACTGTAAACAGTATTTGGTTAAATTAGAGTCCCTTATTTCAGAAATTAAAAAAATATTTTTCTATAAATTTAATTTTATTTTTTTAAGAAAATAAGTTCAATAGCATAATGACCAGAAATTAAAGGTTGAATGTCGGTTGAGCCGCTTCAGTTCTTAGGGACTCAATTCTAAATATAATTGGTTGTTATATTTTGAAAAACTTACTCAAAAGTTAACCACTTGTTGATGAGACGAATTTTTCTTTGTTTCGAAATGGAATTAAAATTATTTGATTGTTAACAAACGAAAACTTTTGTATTTTAAAAAGTATTACATGTTAAGTATAATGGATTTTTTGCAGATAAGTGATTCTTTACTAACTAAATCTTCATAGACTTCATTTGCTATTGCAGAGGCTCTAATTAAATAATTTCTACTATGATTACTGTATGCAAACTTTTAAAAATTTGATATTGATCATAAAATAAAAGCCGAAGCTATTTTAAAATAAAGTAAATTGAAAATTTATGTACATACATGTATGTATGCAATTGAAATACTCATACATGCGTACCCCTAATAATTTTAATTTTTGTTAATTTAATTCTTTTATTTCTACACTAATATTTTTGTTTTTTTTTGTACTTTCTAAATTTTTAATAAATTAAAAATTATTTTATAGCGACATAATGTATGTACATATGTAGATACAACAATATATTGTTGAATAATCCTAAAATTTCTCCACAAATTACCTTAGTTTCAATACAGTTTCATATTTCATTACATTATTAATTATATGAATCATACTATAAAATTATATAGAGAGATTAACAGATATAAAGATTAAAGAGTTCATTTAACACGGATACTCACTCACACAATCATCACTTCTAAAAATAAACTCCCGAAATTAATTAAAACAGAAATTCATTCCGTTTATGATTGTGTTAAAAAATTCATTCAAAATTTGTAAGTAGACCTATACACAAACTACAATACAATATAATAATCAGTAGATCTGGTATGTGTATCTAAATAGTGAATTAAATATAGTTAGTAGAGAAAATTCTTTATAAATTTTTGTAATAAGTATAACAAAAAAATGTAAAAGACGGTGTTGTCTACTACAACCGTAAATAAATATGCATTTATTACGTTTGGGGTTGTGTGTGTGTGTAAAGTCTCAAATATACATATGTGTATGTAATTTGAGAGAAGAAAATAATATTTGTATAAAATACTAAAAATATTATGTAAATTTGTATTACAAGAGGGGAGAATTTTTTTATAATCTTGCAGAATTTACATGTGAGTGAGTATAAATTAAAAAAAAAATATAAATAAATTGAAAATCTGCAAAGAAAATTTTACAAAGCCCGCTTAGAAATGAGATAACGGCAAAAGACGCATAAAAGGCGATATAAAAAGAAAATGAATTATTATTAGAGGAGAGAGAAAAATTATTTAGAAATGAATTGTGTGTATATTTGATGTGTGATGTGATTGTGTGACTTCAACTAATGGTGTTGTATATTAAGTTAGAGTTCATTCATTTTAAAATACGATCATCGATTCATTTTTATATGGTTTGGGTCAGTCAATGTTCAATTCGCATTGTGTTTATTTTTTGTTTCGCTCTTATTTTTCTCTCCACTATTTTTATTTGTTCCTTTATGTTATTATTTTCGTATAAGTTTTCTTTTATTTTTTATTTTATATTTATTTTTCATGTTTCAAATTCGATTTTTCTTTTTTTACCGATATATTGGATTGGTATTTCGTTATGTTTTACATTTATATTTTTTATTTATTGTTTTTTTTTTTGTTTTTTCATTTATTTACTTTTTTTATTTTTTTTTTCTTTTTTATTTTGATTTTCGATTTGAATACTTTTTCGTTATTCATTTTAACCGTTGCGGTAGTCGAAGAGCGGATATCGATGAAGAACGACGTAAATTGTTCAAATAAAGAACGCGATATTTTTGGTGTTGTTTACATAAATTTATTTGATTTTCATCTGCCTCTATTTATGCATACACACATTAATTAAATTAAAAAAAAAAAGGAAAAGCAAGCAAGGTGCGCGAGCGGTACTTTAAAAAATAAATCATAGTTAAAACGGATATTAACTTTGCAAATATTTGTTTAAAAAAAAATAACGGCTTTAAAAGAGCGGAATAATTCATTCATCTTATTTTAATGCTATAAACACTTGTTTTACCCAAAGCAAATAAAATAAATAAAAAGTACATTCATACATACATATATAAAAAACAAACTAATTTTAATACCAAATTGGTTAGAAAACAACTTATAGAACAAAAAATTATCAATTCATAAATATTATGTTAATTAATATAAAACATGTAAATAATAAAATCACGCAATTATATATTTTTACTATAATCAATTACTAAAATTGTAAAGCCATATTAAGTAGTTTCTCAAAAGTTTTAATAAGTGCGATTAGTTTAATTAAAGTTTTCAAAGAACCAAATTTAAAATTATACTTGCATAGATCCATGAAACAGAAACTATGTCTGCTTGCTAAATTATTTTGAAAGTATATTTGCAAAAAAAAAATTTATACCATGCCATGACAAAGTCGTGTAATGAAATTGTAACAATAATTTTCTTATTTGACCGGATGTTGTCTTTTTTATTTTTCATTTTTTTTATGTTTTAAACAAAGGTTGGAATAAAAATATAATAACAAAAAAGTAAACAAATAACAAATAATAGTAAAATGTATAATTTGTGATGTACTTACACACATGCATTAAGTATATTCGTTTTGGTTATTCTATAATTGAAAAATTTTATGAATGAAATACAAAAACAAAAAAAAAATATTTTTTATATTCGCTAAGTAATTTATTTATTGGAATTGCGTATAAAATAGTGTCATATTAGTAAAATTAATATCATCAATTAAAAGATGGCATATTCTATTGCAACCTAAAATAAATTATTGAAATATTCATCTGTAATTAACTAGTTTAAAAAAAACACACAAATTTGTAAAAAAAAAAATTTGAAGAAGTCGAAATTAACTAGTATTAAAAATGTTTAATGTTTAAAAAATAAAATTAAAAAAATTTAATTAGGTACAAAAATTAAATTGATTTTTTGTGTTTCTGAATATCTGATTAAATTTAAATTAAATGACAAAATAAACTTTAAAAAATTAATGAAGCAATTGAAAATTTAAAATCTTCTTTTAACAACAATAATAATAATTTTTTTGCAAAATTAAACAGCAAATATTCGTTTTTCTATTTGAAAAAAGCTAATAATAAAATTAATTTTTTGTTTTCAAATTTTAAGTTAAAAATAATATCCGAGAAAACTGTTTCGGAATTTTACAATTTTTGTTAACAACAGTTAGTTAAATGTTTCAAAATTAGAATAATATTAGTACACGTACAATTGTAATGCAGACATTTATCTGTTCTATTTATTTGTTTTTAATATACTCTCTTATCCTGAGTATTGTATTGTTATATAATTGAAAATCGTATACAATACCGAATTTAAAAAAGTCTATTAATACATTTTCAAAACTTGTAATGCATATTATTATTATTATAGATATTAAATTAATTTATGTATAAAAATAATGCTTATTAAAATTATTGATTTTCAAAATTTCGAAAGCAAAACAAATAAGAAATAAATAAGTGAAAACAAAGAGTTTAACAACAATATGCCTCATAAAAGACGAATATCATTATTACATATTATAAAAACAATTAATGCAAATCTTGAATAATTTAATTTACTTATTATATTTAACGTATTTTCGAAATATGGCAGAATATTCAATTAGAAACTCGTGCCATTTTTTTAAAATATATCAACTGGATTTCAAAATAAAACTTTAATTAAAATATAGGGGTGAAATTCACAGTTATGCGACAAACCGCCAGCATTTACTTATCTTACAACAGCATTCTTCAAATTAGTTTCATATAGAAAAATTTATTGCAAAAAATAAATTTTAAAAAATATTTGTATACTTATAAAATAAAAGAAATTAATTGTGATATTGATTTTTAGTTGAATATTTTTATGTAAATACATACAAAAATTTTAGTTTAATGAAAATAAATTACGTTTAAAAAAAAAAATAAAATTGAAATTATATTAATTTTTTAAAAATACCTATTTGGAATAACGACATTAAATTATAACACATACATCTTGTAAATATCAAGACGTATATCTTGTAAATAAGCTACACCACTTATTTAACTTAAATTAACTATTAATAGTAAGTTAATAAACCAAATCACTAGTTAAAAAAAGTGAATTTTAAATTATTGAATTATTGATACAGAAAGAGAAAAAACTTCTTTATCAAAATTATTTTTTTTTTGTTATACCAAGTAACTTAAACTGTCAAAATTAGTCATAAAAATCAAAATCGATATTACCACCACCATCAATTGGATAATTTTGTACCAACACAACAAGAACAAACTCAACAAGAGCAGCAGCATCATCATCATCATTATTATCATCACCATAGTTTACAACAGCCTGATTCACAAGGCATAGAAACGTTAAAAATACCTTTACATTATCAACAAGAATTAATTAATGAAAATAATAATTCTAAGAGTTTTGCCAATAATAATTTCAGTGATAATCATGATACTAATTATCGGCAACAAATACAGCAATTAAGTAATAATAATAACAATAATAATAATACACAAATAAATAACAACTTGATAAATAATAATGATAATAGAAATAATAATAATTTGAAAAAACGTCCTTCAAATTTGACAAGAGAATACGAAAAGCAGAATATATCGACGACCACAAACATATCACCAACAACAATATTACACACGTATCATCAATTCACTAATAACAATCATTTAATAAGTTCTAAAAATTTTCAAAATCAACACAATTCGATTGGTTTGTTATCTACGGAACTTATAGAATTTTCATCATCCTCACCATCATCGCCAACATCGACATCTTTACATAATGTTAACAATAACAGTATTATATCAAATAATAATTACATTAACCAAAATGTTAATTTAAATCCTATTAACAGTTATAATAAAATCAATAATAGTAACAATAATAATAGTAGTGGTATTATTATTAATAATAATAATAAAAACAATAAAAATAACCATAATAATAATTGTAATAATAATAATAATAATAATAATAAAAATAATAAAAATAATAATAGTAATAATAATAGAAATAATAATACAAATAATAATAATAATAATAACAATAATAGTAGCATTAATAAAAATAAAAATAATAGCAATAATAATAAAAGTAATTATCTTAATAATAATGATATTAATTATAAAAACTTCTTAAATAACAGTAATTTTTCAACAATAACAAATAGAGAATCTTCTAATAATAATAATTCATCAATAGAAACAAATTCAACGATGGTGCTGCAAACATTCGATAATTTTGGCTATAATCCATTAAATAGCGGTAGTACTGGTGGTGGTGGTGGTACGCTTAGTATAGGAGGTGGAGTTGGAAGTGGTGGTGGAGGTGGTGGTAATGGACTTGGCGTCAGCGGTAGTGGAATTAGTAGCGGTATTGGAAATATTAATAGTTTAAGCAATTTAGGATTAGGAAGTGGTTTAGGTTCTGTTAGTAGTTTATTAGGTGGAAATCATAGTTTAAGTATACATTTAAATGGTGATATTATTCCTCCATATGCTGGTGATTATGCTCCAAATCCTGCCAATCATTCATATTATACTGATATAGACGCTAATTTTTATAGTCAAGGTAAGTGTCATATATAAATACTATTAAAAAATATTATTATGTACAAATTATAATTTGTGCGAAATTTAAAATATTTGCAATAAAAAATTACGATTTTGAACATAAATATTTTTAAACCTATATACTTAAATAAAGAAAATCTTTATTTAACCATCTTTAAACAAAACGCATTATCGTCATTATTTTACTGAATGACAAAAATTATGCAAGGCACATTTTGAAACAAAAGTAAATTTAACTCAAAAATAAAAATTGTGTTGCAATTATTAAACAAATTATATTTTGTATAAATTTTAAGCAAATTATAAATTCGCATATTATGGTATACAGTAAAACCCTTCAAAACATTCCCTATTTAACACGTTCCCTGTCCGCTGAGCCACATATGGTTCAGGAAACGTGCGCTTGATAAGCACAGATACGTTCCTGAGCCATATATGCGTCAAGAGGTATATGAAACTTCTAAAGCAAATTATTCGACTGGACGTAACGGAACTGTACAGTTTCTGCACTGGACGTGCTATCCTATGACTACAGAAAAAAACAAATTATACAAAAAAACCCTGTCGGACTTGTGGGTCAATTTTTCATTTTTTTATTGGGACAGGGAACGTGTTAAGAGAATAAGAAAAATATTCTTATTTATGATTATAAGTATAATTGTAATCTACATATTATACGTTTTCATTCGCCAATTTGAAATTTATTAGAAAAATATTAATAATATACTAATAGAAAAAGCACATTATTAATACTTTTCTAAATATTTTAAAAAATTGTTTCTATTTAAACTATAAACTATTTCTATTGTTTCACGTAAAAAATTTAACGCTAATAAAGCTATAAATAATACATATGTATGTATATATTTCACATAATAAGTACAAGTACATTTGGATATTTTAATTAAAAAAAAAAAACTTTATAACTTGACTTCCTCTTCATCAAAAAGATATATGTATGCATACTTATATATATACACTTAAATCCTATTATATATTTCACTATCATATAAGTTCCTTTAAAATTTCCGACCCAACAACCGAATAAATTCTAATTAAATGGCGATCTCATAATTTAAATATTAAATTTTGAATATAAGTACATATATGCATATGCTGCACACGTTTTTCATATATACGTACCATGTACCTGACATACACATTTGCGCGCACATAACTAACTATAACATACTTGTGAGCCCATATGCACGTAAATATGTTTATGTAATTTTTTTAACTGTTATTAAATAACTTTATTTTAATATCTAAAAGAATAATGATAATGTTATACAAAAAAAGGAAAACATTAAAAATTATTTCGCGGGAAAATAAAATAAAAAAAAGCAAGTAAATAAAATGAAACAAATTTTCCGCATGATCAACATTAAAATATTCTCTCTTTTTCTTGCCTATATCAGTTTTGTACGTACGTTTACAATTATGTAGAAAAATGAGTAGTATACTTATCTTGTTACACCCCAGTATTTCTTCGCGTAAAGAAGATAATTGTTTGTATATAAATATTGTAATATAGGCAAAAGTATACATTTTATAATATCAAAAAAGAAGAAAACTAAGGAGGGGTTCCATAAATTATAATATTCGCAGTCAAACTAAATAATATTATTGAGAAAAAATTAAACATTGATCAAATGTTATATAATAAAATATGTACGTATGTTCACACGTATACATACATTTTAGTTATAATGGAATCACTTACACCACTCCTTTACGTAGTATACAAATAAGAAATGTAAAGTCCTTAACTACCTACATATTAAACCGTTGCAATTAATTTGATCTAATTAAATTTATAAAGTATATAAGATTAATAAGTAAACATTTTAAGGTTTTTTATTTGTTCTTTAGTCATTTAATAAAAATAAGTTCCATTGCACTTCTACAGTAATATAACTTTTAAGTTCAAATCATATAAATTTAAGATGAATTACCTCTTAATATTAATATGGATCCAATAACAATGGCACCGTAATATTGAACTGCAAAAATTTTCTTTACTTTTCATGACATGTCTCTGGAAACATAATGAACATAAGATTCCGAAAATCAAATAACGAATAAAATAAATTTTTATTCATTCTTCTTAATCTGAAACTTGTTCAATTTGTGGTTTATTTTTATAAGAAACCGTTTAATGAAGAAACGCAATTTATTTTCATTTAATACGAAAAAAAAATTCAAATAAAAAAAAAAAATATTTTTTTCAAAATTTGTTGCAAGAAATTTGAAAAAATTTACTAATTTTCTGCTATATTTTAAATTTACTAATTACATTTACTTTTTTTCTCTTTAGTAATTTTCCGAACTAAATCTAAAGAACAATCAATTTTAAATGGTACAAATACACATAAAACGTACATGTACTTTACTATACGTACAAGTATATTATACTTATATAAATTTGCATTCTTATATTATACAAAGTATGTACATATTTATATTAACTACTTAATAATCTTGTTTAGTACACCCATCAAAATACATTTTTAATTATATAGAAATTAACATAAATTTGAATCTAGGTTTAGCATACTTAAGAAAACTACATTTAAAATATTAAAAAAAAAAAAATTGTTCATACAACTGTTACTCGTATTTATTTACAAATTGGACAAAAAGTAAAAAGTGTCCCTTATGGTCAAGTCAAAAACCATAATTACATTCATTGTAGCTCTTAATTTAATGAAAAAAAGAAAATGCTAATTTATTTTATACTTACCTTCTAAACCCTCAATTTCGTCTTTCTTCACGGAAAAAAATAACAAAATGCTTACAAGTGAGAATCCTTATATTAAAAGAGGGTACTTTTCGGTGATAAAATAAAAAAAAATTTGCTGTTTTTTTCTCAATGAATAAGCGTTGGTACACTTTTTATCTTGTCTTATACTTTTTATATCGTCCAACAATTTTTAAAAAGTCCCGTCAAGTGTAAAAAAGGATGAAAACGTACCTAAGTAGAAAAAATAATAAAAATGTAACTAAAATATTACGAGTATAAGTAATCAGACTTTTAAATTTGTTGCATCTCAAACAGACGATACAACATATGTTGTAAGAACATCTGATATCATACAAGTTAAAAGGTACTTTTGCATGTTGTTATGTTTAGTTAAAATTTTCTGAAAAACAGTTAAACGTTTCATAATTTAAACATAAATTTATAATCTTAATATTGAGATATAGACTTTAGCTATTTTGCCTTAAATTACTTTAAATAGATAAATAGTTGATATAAATAATTTTTTGAAAAGGGTCGTTATCAATTCTGATGTATTCAAATATTGTGTATAAATAAACCAGATATAAGTTTGATTAGAAAGCAGATCTTCTACTCCGTAGATGGAAAAATATAGAAATACGTTTAAGTTTTAAATTTAACCTAAAAATCTTAAATTTATTCTTATAAAAAATATGAACAATTTTCCCGTTAAACAACTAAGAACTAAAGCAAAATTTGAAATTCCAAATAAATAACTTTTTAAAATCTCCGATACTCCGATATAACCAAAATTTTTAATAATATTTTTGTTTATTCAATATTTTTCAATATTGCATTTATGGAACTCTTTAAAGATGCTTAATGTTGTAATATGATGGAAATCGAAATAATGGTAAACGATTGATAATTAATTCATGTGAAACAAATGTTTTATAAAGTAGCATATTTTTCTTGATCCTTAAAAAAAAAACCTTCAATCCTTAAAAAAAAATAAAAAAAAATTAAAGAGGCGTTAACTTAATGCTCCAATTGAAGGGTTAACTGCGTTAGTTAAGAAAATAATTAAATTTTTTGTTGGCATGGCATTTAGTTGCTAGTTTCCTGCATTTGTGGAAATTCGGAAAAGCTTGTAGTTTCAGAAATATAAGGGGCCAAAAATTCGAATTTTACAAATTTCAAGAGATGATAACTTGAGAGGCGATGGAGGTGGAAATAAATTTTTTTCTAACGAAATAAACTCTTCATAAACACAACCAACGGTATATAAGAAAAACTTTATAAAAAAATTAAAAAAAAAAATTTAGATTACGGTAAATTTTAACAGCCATTTTATTTTTAAAGTTCAAGTATGGTGTGCCGCGGAATGTAGTTAACAAAAGGTATTTTTAGTTTTTCGGGGGGCTATAACTTTTAAAGGAGATGGGATAGACAAAAACTTTCTTTTACTAAAATAAGTTTCTACTAAAAATCTAAGTATACATATGGAATTTCAGCTTTCTTTCTTCAATGACGCAGAAGTTTTGTAAACAGGTCCAGGAAAGGATTACGAACGGAGTGAAACTAATAAGCACTTTTTTTTCAAAAATATTCTGGAAAAGAGCTACTAAAAAAGAGATTTTTGTAGGTTTTGACGGCAAATCGCTTTTGGGGGAGAAAAGTTAGTATAGAAATTTTATTTTAATAAAGTTGGGTCAAACCAATGGTTTGTATTGTAGCATTTTCCCCTTCAACAATATTAGTGAAAATACTGCTTTTAAATACAGTCTATGTATATACCTATCACACTATTAAAATTATTTTCATTCATATACAAAACTATTTCTAGGATTGCATATATTTAGGATGAACGATCTATGCAGTCTTTGAAATAAAGCAAAAATTAATATAAAGTAAGGTTAACATAATGCTCGATTTTAAAGTTTAATTGTGTGAGTTGAGAAAAATAATTATATTTTTTAATGTCATGGAATTTACCATTAGCTTTTTGTGTTTATAGAAATTTGAAAAAGCTTGCGGTTTCGGAAATATAAGGTGTCGAAAATTCAAATTTTACGAATTTCAAGAGGCGATAACTTGAGAGGGGGTGGAGATGGAAAAAAATTTTCTCCTAACGAAATGAACTATTAATTAATGTCTAAAAGCCCAATAATTTCAAGCTTCTACAGGCTGAGGTCTAGAAGAAAAACGAAATCAAAAATTTGAAAAAAAAAGATTTTAGATAACGGTAAATTTGAACGGCCATTTTGTTTTTCTAA